ATGATTCACGGACCCAATGAACACTTACCCCACAGTGTGGGGAGTGGTCATTGGTTGATAATGCTGGAGCGCACTCCCGAATGTATCGGGGCTTCGGGGAATAGGGCCTGACCAGCGCACACAACGGTGAAAAAAAAATTTTTATTATAACATAAAATATTCTTCAGATCACATAACGAGGTGAATAAATGGATTATGCTAGGTCTTAAAACCAATTCTTCCACATAAACCACAATGAAAATAAATAAACATTCTAGCTATAGTTACACCAGGATATAAATTGAACTCAAATATAATTAAGGAAATATTCTAAAAAAAAAAAATGTTTTCATTGTTTCTCAAACAAATGTTTTTTGGATTTTTTTTTTAAGTGTGGATTGATGTAGAGAAATCGGGAAGAAATCTGGTAGGTAAATGATCTTTTATAAATTTCTTTATTGAGTGCAGGAAAATGGATCATATTTATTTTTTCTCCGAAGATTGACGTTATGCACATCTGTCCTATAAATAATTTTTCTATATAAATACTCAGGATTTTTTAATTTCAGTATTTTATAGTAAAAAGTGAGATCGTGTAACTTGGCACTGTTATACTGTTATACTGTGCCATAGTTTTTGTATATCAAGCGCCCGTCGCTTTTTTCACAATAATACTATTATTTTAACTTTGTTCGGTGTTCTTCAAAAGCGTGTTTTTTAGTTTTTCAAACTATATTTATTTTGAACAAACCTCTTATAGTGAAACATGTGTTGGGGTTTTGTAAACTATTCAGTGACGATATCGCAATTAAGTGTTACTTGAATACTCAAAATGTTGACCTTTAGGATATAATACAAAGTTTTGGATTAATTATATCGTCACACAAATTATGAACCCCACACAAACATTTTTATAAAGCAGTGCAAGGTCCCAAATTCAATTATTCAGCCGGAAAAATAATATTAGTTCAGGTGGTAGGTTAATGATTTCAAATAGTTGTCAACATTTATATCGAAAGTTTAATTACTCTTATGAAACCAAAATTAAAAATATGATAATTATTAATGAAATTTAACTACCATGAGTATTTTATACGATTATGAAATACATCATTACACATTTTGCATTTGAAGAAATTGCGTAATGTTGATTCAGGTGTGTCTGTCTCACAAATTGGTGTCACAAAATACTTACCTACTCCTCAATTTTTTGTTTAATTCATTCTATATTCTCCATCATTTGAAATACAGTCAAACTGTTGGAAAAAATGTTGAAACTGAAATGAATATAGAGGTCGATAGAAATATTTCTTTCCAAAATATTTTACATGAAAAAATACTTGAAAAAGTGATGTGAAGGTAAATGCTTCCAGTAAAGTTATAACTAATTGTCTGAATTATTAAAGACATTGGAGAATGATAAAAAACCATCATATTTCATTTATTTCAATCTCAAACTAGCATTGAAACGATATGTTCACTTGAATTTTCCTTCTTGACAAAAACTGACGGACTGTTCCAATTCAAAAACTTCACATTTCCAAGGTATTCCTTCCAGGTAATAATATAAAAAATCGAAAGACGGGTCAATTAATTATTCAAATGAGAATGTTTTAACGGATGAATTTCTGCGAGGGAAAGGTGTTACCTTTAGAATTTTAAATGGAAGAGGGGATATCTAAGTATACGTTATTTCAAATAACTATTATTAGGTTGATTCAAAAGTTTTGTACGTTTTATGAGTCTACTTGAGACTGTAACAGACTACTAATTCCGTCAGCATAAAAATTGAGTTCTCGGTATTCGAAGAAGGCCGTTTTTGCTTGGTCCTGATTGGCGGAGGTTCTACCGATGAGATAGTTATCGAACTGCTTCAAAAGAGCTTAGTCGGTTGGTGAGAGGTCTGGGGAGTATGGTGAGAGAAGCAGAATTTTGACGTTTAGTTTTCGGACGGTGATTTGTAAAAAGTGCGGCGCTGCCGACACAATTTTCAGTACATTCCGTCAATTTCCTCACAAAAGGACTCTGCATTGATAATTTAGCCTGGTTGCAGAAAATTATACTGAATCATATCAGACATTGACCACCGTAAAGTAACCATTTTTGGTGGATTTTTGCCTTTGAGAAGTGTCTGGGAGGCTCATCGGTGTCCAACCACTGTCCTGTTGTCGTAAAAGATCCACTCTTCATCATACATGCATCCGATCCAAAAAGGATCGTTTTGGTTGCGAAATGCAAAATGCAAGGAAGAATAGACTTCGAAATTTTGGGGCACCTACTTTTCGAGTTTTTTGACCTTTCCAATACGTTTTAAACCATCAAAACCGCATGGAAACTAACGCCCAGTTCGTTCAACATCCTACACACCATTTATGATGGGTCAGTCTCCATCAGGGTCCTCAAATCCTCGTCCTGGATTATTGTAGGTCGATTACTTCGGAGCTCATTTTCGAGGCTAAAATCTTCGCAACGAAATTTTGCAATCCAACGTCGAACAGTGCGTTCATTAACACTATTACCATTACCAAATTAAAAGACCTCAGTTCGCACAAGTTTCAACTTCTGAGAGTTGTCCTCAACTAGCAATTTTATTTTTTATAATAGTTGCGAAAACGTTTCGAAGAAACAAATTATAAAACTGTATTTCTCCCAGAAATGTTTTCAATGTGTATATGAAACATCTATAAGTAGGAAATATACGTTGGTTATGGATTTTCATCAAGTATCGGCCAATTCCATCATTTTTCTTTGTCAGTAAATTCAGTATCCCCTTCCCTTCCATTTGATCTGCACTTCACGATCCATGTAAAGGTAACGAAGAAACGCCTTAGTGCCTTTTGGCATGCTGCAATATTTGTTTTTGTCTTCGCGAATAAATTCAGTATTCCCTTCCCATTCTCATTCATATACACAGACATTACCGTTCGTCCCACTCTTACACAAGTCAATATTACTTTTCGACATACTGCCATGTTTGTTTTTTCCTTGTCAATTTATTCAATATCCCCGCCTCTTTCATTCGAAAGCTGCTCGTCACAATCCAACCAGCATTGAAGAAAATAAATTCAATCATTCGGACGGGATGCCGTGACGGACCGGGACTGAAAAATATTTCGGTAAATCGTTTTAGTGTTTCTTGATAATATTTGTTATTTTTGTATAAAACAGGCAGTATTGTATTATAGCAGTGCTTTTTAGTAATATTTTTAATGTGTTTTTAAAGCGTTTTCTTTCAATTTTAAGGTGTTTTCAGGTTTTCACTTTTCGGTAAGTTTTTTTTTTTCATTTATTATGATAAATTGGACTAAATTAAAATATCTGACGATATAGTCGATTGGTTGCTGACAAATAATTTCAAGTCTTTATCTTATGATGATAAATTTTACATTATTAAACTCTGGGAAGGCCTCAACCAAATTTGATTTCAATTAAAACTTCAGATAATCGACAAAACCGAGGATTTAATATTAGTTGGTACGTTTTTAGATATGTCAAGGATGGTAATGTGGTAGAACGTTTTATGGGTTTTCATGATGTTTCATCTGGGCGCACAGCTGACGGTTTGTTTAGTTTTTCAATGCATAAGTGTGACACCTATAATTTTAGGCAAAAGTAGATTGCGCAAACCTATGATAGGGCTGCGGTCATGGCCGGCCATTCAAATGGTTTACAAACTAAAATAAAGTCCATAGCTCCTCATGCACTTTTTACGCATTGTCATGCCCTAACTTTAGTATTAAGCAAAGCATGCAACAACATAAAAATTTACGCGCCTCCGGCGGGCTTTTCTGTGTGTAGGTATATAGTCTTTATGACTTTAGCCTCCCCTGTTCTCCAATGCACGAGCCGTCACTGGACCAGAACGAACCCCCATGAGAAAAACCATGAGACTTTAAGGCAAAAGCGTATAGGTCTTTTACTTATGTTGGTATGGTGGATGAAACTTGGGTACATGTCTACAACTCAGAAACAAAACAGCAATCAACGTAAAAAATGTCGGCTAATTGTTATGTTAATTTGTTCACTTGATTTAATATTCAACTTCCCGACCCCCTGCTGCTAAACGATAATAACATTTTTCCGCACATCACGAAGTATTCCCGGACTGATTCATCGGCACTCTCCGACAATTTTTCATGCAAATCCTTCAAACATCCTTTTTGTTATCTATAGATTTCACTTTGAAGATACTCACAGAAAAAATAAATCAAGGTGTAACAAATCTGGTGCCTATGAAGGACCTTTTACGATGGCCCTTCTCCCATTTTGATGCCCGTGGTAAATGTTGAACTAGAAACTAGATCATCAGTGTGATGGAGGTCATTTGATATTTCGATAGACGGTGTTCCTATACATTCGGTGGACCTTGACTGGTATTAATTGGTCTAACATTTTTCACATCACTAAATTGGAGGAGAGAAAAGAAATTCTTTGTTTTTCCAGATGAATAATTCAGAAGATAAACCTCAGCTAAACTCTGACTTTTCTTTTCTTTATTTGTGTTTTTAACAATTTAGATCAGAAAATCAGTTTTAGATACAAACCCACCTTCGTGTATGCTAAGAAAAATTGTACCCTTTTTTCACAAAAATTGCATTACAAGAATTTTGATTACAAGCTGTTTGAAACTTTTTACATTTCGACTTGTCATTAACTCATAATTTCTCTTCATGATATCCACTGCATCATAACATCCAATTTAAAAAAATCAAGGGATCGTTGAAAAGAGAAATCGACGACAGTTACGTCTGTCGTTATTTTTTTATCTGTTCTTTTTATCTGCAGTACCAGAAGGACCAAACAAATATGAATGAATAGATATTGCTTTTAAAATATATGCATTTCCTTCTCCAAAGCAGAAACCTTGTTTAAATTGAAAGAGGTATATTTTTAGACATTATGTCGTTTTTAAGTGAAAGTACTTTTTTTTATGTGTATACCGGGACTGATGAACTGATAATAGTTTAAAAGTTGCTTCTGAAAGGTTTTTAGTATTTTATGACAGTGCTTGAAAAACAAACCTTCATTTTCTTTTTTCAACTCAATTTGAAACCTCACGAACAATTGAAAATGGTAGTTACGTAGTTACTTCGTCGTTCACACACAGTCGATATCTACACAAACCACAAACATCACTGATTGAAACATCCTATGAAATATATTTCATCTACGGTTTGGAAATGATAATTGTAGTTTTTACACTTCTTGGTGTAAATTCCTAGCGGGAATGAAATGGAATCTACGTATCTTTGAAATTTTTGTATATGGCAAATACCCACTGATTCATTCAACGCTGTTATTTTTATGATACATTGATTGATGATAAAATCTGCTGGAACACCGTTTGAAGTTTTCAGTATATAATCTATAATTTTCCGGCTTATGACTGAATTGAAGCCGAAGATTCATAAGTTGATTGAAAAAGTGAATTAAAGAGTATTCATACTCATTTTGAAAAGACGATAAATCTAATTTCATTACTGAAATACGTCTAAACGATGTTACTTGAAATTGTTCTAACGGTAAGGCTCGTTTTCAACTCAAATAATTGCTAGCTTCCAAACTATGAGATTCAGACCATAATGTATTCTACTTTGTTGAAATCTGTACATCGTGCATAGACCATCTGCAAAACAATTGATCCATTAAAAAAAATGGTGACGTACTCTGGGGGTGCGATAGGGAAAGTTAGATCAAAATCTGACCCCCTGCAAACTATTGTTGAACTGTTTTTTTATTTTTCCTGAAAGTCATTGTTCTAAAAGTTATTCAGGGTGGCTCAAATAATTTGTAGCTCCCGAACCATAAGCTTCAGACCATATGTTTTATACTTTGTTGAAATCGGCTCATCATGGAGCATTTGATAATGCGAAACAATATTGGGTGATCCATTTGAAAAAAAAATTGTGACATGCTCTGGGGGTGCGATAGGGGAAGTAACATCAAATGTAAATATGTCAAAATGTGCCCCCCTGTATACTATGGTTGACGTGTTTTTTTTTATTTTCCTGCAAATTATTGTACCAAAATTTATTTAGGGTGGTTCGTTTGAAATGGAATGCACTGTATATTCACCACTGATAGACTTTTTCACATACTTCGTTTAGTATTAGTCATTACCTGGGAAATTGTTTACAGGTCCTGATGGAATTCCGCTATTCCTAATCAAAAAATGTATTTTTACCCTGGTCAAACCAATTCACATGATTTTCAATATTTCCTTGAAATTGTCGATCTTTCCAGATTATTGGAAAAACAGTTTTTTGAAACCTATTTATAAAAGTGGATACATAATGATATGAAAAATTATCGAGCAGTCTGTAATCAATCAGAATCACCCAAATTGTTAGACAGCCTAATTACAAAAAAACTAACATGGGATTGTAGACATATAATCATTAATCAACAACATGGATTCAGTAGTGGTAGATCTACCAGCACAAATCTGCTAATTTATCAACACTGTATAATAAACGTCTTCGAAAATAGACACCGGGTGAATTCTATTCACACAGATTTTTCAAAGGCATTTGACAGAGTAAACCACAATTTTTTGTTGCATAAACTAAACGCTTTTGGTATTCAAGAAAACATTCTGAAATGGATTGAAAATTATCTAGCCTGCAGAGTACAATTTGTAAAATATGGTAGCTCAGTATCTTCCTCAATCACAGTTTCATCGGGTGTACCACAGGGTTCTCATTTAGGGCCATTGCTTTTCAACTTATTTGTCAATGACTTGAAAGATGTTATTCTTTATAGTGAATTTCTTTTGTTTGCTGATGACTTGAAGATGTTTAAAGTTATTCATGACTCAACTGATACAAAATTATTACAGTACGATTTATCTAACTTTGTTCGCTGGTGTGGTATGGCCATTAACTGGCCATATAAAATCAATCAATCAGATCTGAAAACAACAAACACAATCAGAGATTTAGGAATCACTCTAGACCCAAAAATGTTATTTAAACCCCATATTGCAAGCGTTAAAAATGTTAGGTTTCATTCTCAGATCTGCGAATGAATTATCTCTCACTTCAATAAAAATCATATATTATTCAATTGTTACATTAATAATCGAATACAATTTCACAATTTGGTGCCCTTCATATCATGTGGATATTGATATGCTTGAAAGTGTTCAAAATAAGTTTTTAAGGTACTCTGCATATAAACTGGGATATCATATTGGATAATAAGACTATAAAATTATATTGGACATTCTTACCTTGAATACTCTGGCTCATAGGAGATTAGAAGCAGACCTTATACTAATTCATAAAATAATCAATGGTAGCATCAATTCCACGGAACTTGTTGAACTTTTAACTTTAAATATGAATCCAAGGAGAACAAGAAATTCGAATATCTTCAAAGTACCCTTTTGTCGCACCAACTATGGCCGGAATGAATCTGTAGGTAGAATTTTGAGACTTGCAAATACATACAATGTAGATTTAGAATATTTATATTCTACCGCCCGTTAAATTATTAGGTGGGCTGGAAATTCCGTAGGCTAACACATAGATAGCGCTACTAGTATTAAACCCATATGTGAATCAACTTTTGTTAATTTGAAAATGGATAAAAAGGAATTTCGTGTGTTGATGATAATTAGCATTCGGACTTTGCACCAACAAAATCAATCGTTGAGAAGTGTTTTGCTAAGTTTGAACGAGATGAAATGACCACCGAGGATGATGCACGCAGTGGACACCCAAACGAGGCTGTTACCGACAAAAAAATCAAAAAGAAACTAAGATGGCGGCAAAGTGAAGTTGCTAGAGATATAGTCTATCCATTCCCAATTGGAATGGCAATAAAAATAAGAGTACAGTCATAAACATGTCTTGCCTGTGGCCCCTAGTCGCCCAGATAGTTAGTAAACCTGCTATCCAATGTAGTTGAGGAATAAAGGCTCGGCTAGCTGGACTGGCTGAATACTAATTTTTTGTCCGTTTCACAATATTTCTTTATCAGTGCCGTGTGTTCGTGGGGTTAGGTGAGGTAGTGAGTGATTTTGCAAACCGATTTTTGAAAACTTTTTCTAGAGATCAATTACCCTAACACCAAACTGATATTTTTGCACTCGACGCACGTTTCGCTAACAAGGTGAGCATCTTCAGGAAACGCAAATTGATACTGAACCTAAAGACAAGGGTTAGCTGTTTATATACCTAAAGTTTTTTGGTCCAATGTAGACTTTGTTTGTAAAATGATGATTATCCTAATTGATTTTTCGGTAATTAACTAGTAGAACCACTACCTGCAAATTAATTTGTCAACAATATATTAAAAAGCGGACAAATTAATTTGCATTTAGAGTTTTCGACTCGGAAATCAACTAACTTAAATTTCGAAGTTTTTCATAATTATCCGTGGTGGAAAAATTCAGTTGAGATAACTTTTTCATGGGGTGATCAATTGCTATGATTGTAAGAATAAGACTTCCACTGAAAAATAATATGCCGACGCCTATGTCGAGGCGGGAATTCCTTCTCTGTGCTGTTCCAATTGGTATTGGAAATACTATAGCTGTGGCTCTCAAAATGTCAAAGGAACGTGTTGGACATGTGGTGCATGAATATTTGAGTATGCGAAAGCTTTATTCAAAGTGGGTGCCGCGCGACCCTACAACTGATAAAAAATAACAACCAATTGATGATTCTGAGATGTGTTTGTTCCACCATGAAAAACCCGAAGTTATGCGTCGATATATGGCAATGGATAATACATGATTCCATCATTTCACACCAGTATCAAAACGATCGTCATCTGAGTGGACTGCACGTGGTGAACCGACTCCAAAGCGTACAATGACGCAAAAGTCGGATGGTAAGGTTATGATATCAGTATTTTGCGATGCACATGGTATAATATTCATCGACTATCTTGAAAAGGGAAAACTCATCAGCAGCGACTATTACACAACGTTATTGGATCATTTGAAGGGCGAAATCGCGAAAAAGGGGCCCATTCGAAGGTGAAGAAAGTGCTATTTCATCAAGACAATGGACCGCGTCACGTATCGATGAAAATGATGGCAAAATTGCATCAATTGAGCTTCGAATTGCTTTCGCATCCACCGTATGCTCCAGATGTGACCCCCAGCGACTATTTCCTACTTTGAGAGAATGTTCGCTGGAAAGAAATTTGTCGCTGATGAAGAAGTAATTATCGCAACTGATACCTATTTTGTGATTAAAAACAAATCGTACTATAAAAGTGGTATCGGAAAATTGTTTGACCACTATAATTGTTGTGTCGCCCTCGAAGGCATCTTTAGTAAATAATAATATCAAATTTTATTTACAGTGACTCCATTGAAGAAGGTATATTAGATTTTTGTATTACCAGACTTACCTATATTAAGTTATAATTGGTTTTCGCTTTGAATTGGAACAATGATAGGTATATGAATACCAACTCATCACTCACTGTCATTCATTAATCTATCAAAATTGTCATTTGGAAAGATTGTTTCTATGGCAATTTCATGACCACCTAGCAAATTTTGTCGAACTAGAAATTATTTCTTGGAAATTGCTATTTATGATAAAAGTGTTAAAAGTAATGTTCTATTTTGTGAGTGAAAAAGTTTGTAAAACGAGCGTAGTGAGCTGAGCAATTTCACGAACAAAATAAAACTTACTATAAACACAAATATCGTACAAAGTTTTTGTACAACTGTCCTTATTTCATAATAACTTGTCAGTTAACTATTTTCATGTTATCGCATTTGCTATGAAATGGCCGTGTCAGGTGACGCCGAATCACCTGGTTACCAACAAACAGTATTGTTTACAGCTCACGCGTTTTATTTAAAGTCACATTTAAAGTTCTTGCTGGTGTTTTATGTCTTACATCCATGGGTAGATTACTATCTTCTCACCATCTATAACACGATGTTAGAGCCTGTCATCATGTATGCTTCAGGCGTCTGGGGACAAGCGGCTCCGTCCAACATTTCCATCTTGGAAAGGTTGCAAAATAAGTTAATAAGGATAAGTGTGAATGCTCCTTGGTTCGTGCGGAATGAAGCCATCCGCAGAGATTTGCAGCAGCCTTCCATTCGGCAGTCCATTCAGTCCAGGAATGAGAGAGTTTTCGAAAAAACGGAAACTCATGAAAACCCGTTAGTTAGGGAAGCCACAGATTAC